ATTGCTTAAAATAAACTTTCGCATAACTTTCTAAAATCATCTGCACTCGAAGAACAGTGTATGGCAGATAGCATCAGCAATGGGTATGAAAATGAAGAAGTGGCTGACTACTGAATTCTCAGTTTGAATTAGGATAGCGAGAAGAATCTTTATTCTTTTAAGACCCGGTCTTTTAAAAAATCTATCGAGTGGTTCCATGAAATTATTCGCTTATTTGTTAAAGTAGACCGAAATGTTTACAAAACTGCTAACAAGAGTGCCTCGATGACTAATGAAATCCTTCTTCCGATTCTCGCAATCAAGCAGAGCTATCTCCACGATCTTTCACACATGTTTTTAAAAAGATTAAAACTACTATGAGGTGAAAAGGCATGTCAAGCTTCGTTTTGTACAGATAACGGCCAAACATCAAGATTTTCCTTTTCCTACCGTATTTCTAATAACAAAAACTTCATTCCAAAATATCTCGATAACGCTCTTAAGGTTTTGTTTAAACTTCACGAACATCAAGGCGACCGTATTGGAGAAAAATGCTCCTGTGAACGATTTTGTAAGGTTCCCCGTGCCGAGAATCATTGCTAAGTAAAATAGGTAATGGGGTCATTTCGTTGCTATGACAGCTCCAATGTCATTGCAACCCTGATGATGACAAATTTTCATCTTAATACAACTGACGTCGCAATTTTTCCAAATGTTTGTTTATGGCGACGTAGTTTATGCTCAGACTTGACCATGAAAAACTGTATCGAGCCACCTTCATATTCCAGGACGGCCTATGTTGTTGCAATATGGCCCTCATTTGTTTTCGACTCTTTCGTAAAAATTTGGGCAACTTGCGAGATTTTTCTGGGCAAATGGTTTACCGCCCCCCTTGCAAAAAATTTCCAGTACGCCTATGCGCTGCCCCGTTTAACAACTTTTTCAAATATTGGCGGGAAGATAAAAAATAGAGAATATGTCTGTCTCTGTCGAATGACAATAAACGCTTGCAACAACAACAACAACAACTTTATTAGTACCCAGCTGTACCCTACATTGATTTACATGATACAAAATAATTTGATAAAAATATACAGAGAGTACAGGCTGCCCATAATAACCACTGAGGGCTAAAAAGATAGGGCAGCCTTACTTAGGTTCCTCCCCTAAATCCGCCACTGTTATATACAAAGTGGGCCGTTGACCATAGCCCTAGGTATACTCCAATTTCCCAAAATAACTCAAAATGTCATTTGCTTAGTTCGTTGGCACAAGCAAACCTCTTTGACATCTTAACGGTGTCCATAGAATCTGCAATCGACGGTTGGCCGGGTACGCACAAGTTGGCAGTTGTTCAAACAAAGGTTAAAACAATCCTGCTTCATGGTGCTTCTTGAGTCGTCGGAGGGTAGAAAATGTGCACCCTGGATGCTACAACTGGTGTTCAATAAAATTTTTACATTTCCACTTGACCAGTTTTGGGTTGAGAAACATGGCTGCGGTGGTGGTAGGGAAGGGGTGTGGGGGAAAGCCCCACCCCCCCTGCTATTTACATCAAAGGCAATTCCCTTTCAAGCAAACAGCTATGACTGTGGCTGAGTTTGTCTGCATGGTAAGCATATTTTGCATAGTATTGCCAAAATTTGTAATAGCAATGACTATAATATTGTAATTGATACAATAATAATGTAATAGTAATGATTATAATTATTATAATTTACATTGTATTCTGAACATCACTCATGTTCTCAAACTGCTGTTGTAAATGGTAGCAATGACTTTATAATATTGAAAAAAAATTGGTATACAAAACCTCTAATAATGTAATGCAGACACTAATCTGATTATTTTCCGTGTTAAAAATTATTATAATTTGAGCATTAACTACGTCGGCATGAGTTAATAAATAATCATTGTATTTTGAAATAAATCACTCATTTTGTTCTTTGATAAATAAACTGCTTTTGTTGTTTAAATGGTATACATTAAAATACTCACCAAAAAGCATGTATGACATTTAGTTTGCAATCAGGTGTGTCAAAAATGATACGTCCAATCAAAATTTCCATGTTTTTTCGCGTGTGAAAAATTCCCCCCAATCAGAAGCCACTTGTCAGTTTCGCCGCTTTTATTGGCGTCGATAAAACCATGAACATGGAACATTCCGGAACATCCCGGAACATCCCGGAACATGAAAAAATTAAAATATTTTTTTATGAAAAATTAATTCATTCATTCATTAAATAAAAATATTAATAAAAATAATAATAAAAAGAACAATAGATAGAAAACAATTTTTGCAAAAATTTATAATAACAAAATAAATAACATAACATAACATAAAAACGAAAAATAAAGAAACAAAGAAAGAAATAAAGAAAAAGAAACTGGTATCATCTCCGAGTATGAGAAAACAATATTTTGTCGCAATGAATTTTTTGGGCGAGTGAGGGTCCATTCAAATGACAGTAATGAGTGAACGCTTGCTTCTAAATTCAAAATATATTAAAATGGGTCGCGA